CTTGGGAGATTTCCACCCTGGGGTAGGGGGTGCGGCCGGCCAGAGGTCAGGAGATGGCGGGCAGGGAGCGCCGCCACGTGCCCGCTTGCGGCCCCGCCCGAGCCGATCAGTGACTCAGCCACGGCTGTCGAGGAACGTCGGCTCGGGGGGGCATTGGGTGCCCAAGGGGCTTGGAGTGGCAGTGAGGGGACCGCGCCCCGCCGGGCAGGCTGGGAGAGGAGCGAAGCCCCTTCCCGCCCGGGAAGCGCCCCTCCCCCGAGGGACCGGAAGCGGCCAAGCCCCTCAGCGGCCCGGGCGGCCAGCGGGGACTAGTTCACCTAAACCAGCCGCCGGTCCTACCTAAACCAGCCGCCGGTCCTACCTAAACCAGCCGCCGGTCCTGCCTAAGCCGCTTCCCAGTGGGCAGCGAGCAAACTCATCGCACACAAGTTCTTAGCATAAGTTTTACTGACAAATAAGAAAAAAAAAAAAAACAATGGGCCAAAGTAGAAGGGACTTTCCCCTTGTTGAAAAAGTTGCAATCTTGAAGCCTCGGTATTCTTCCGCCTTGAAAAATAGTCCTGCCCGTCTGGCCCCGCGGGCGCCAGGGCTCAGTGACCTCTGAAGAGAGGGGCCGAGGGGCACGGCCGGTAACCCAAACTGCTGACCGGGGGACGGGCGGGGCTAGGACGTGGAGGTGAGGCCTGAGGCTGTAGCTGATCCAGCGCGAGGGATAATCCCCCTGGAGACGGGGTGGGCTTCGGCGAGTGCAACTTGTGCCGCCTGGGCAGATGCTAGTTGTAGAAGAGTCCCCGGTGGATGCCTTCAACTATGAAAACGGCCGGGGTATTTTGTCAAATTTCCCTTTACTCCCTTATTTCTTGAATAAATAAAATCAAGAGTGCACAGCGGCAACGCGCACGCCTCGCCCCCGCCCCTTCCGCCCGGCGGGAGACACGTCCCCGGCCAGCCTGCCTTCGCATGGGGTCCGAAATCTCTACCGGTCCCGCGCGCCGGCGCGCGCCTCGGAGCGGCCGTCGACGACTGCCAAGGCGACACTACGGGAGTAGGAGCG